GGGTGTTGTGCAAAGCACAGAGCCACAGGGAAGCTTGTGGGGAGGCCTCGTGCCCTGGGCTGAACAAACACTTCTGGTTCCAGCAATGTGCTAGGAAAAGAAAAGAAAACGCAAGCAAACCTCCCCCAAACCCAGGGAGGGAATGTTACAGCAGATTGAAAAGGCAAAAATAAGCCCAATATGACAGGAAAGAAACATTCCTGATTTCAGGATGAATCAAAATGCTCTTCAGAAGGAAAGCCATAAAACTTCTGGTTCCTCGTAATGGCAGAGAATTAAGCACTTAACAAGCCCTCAGAGATGCAATAAACCTTTCCAGGCAGCTGAGAGATGCTCAGGAAGGAGTTGAATAAATTCCTTTAGCTGCTGTGGTGATGAAATGTGCTGAGATTCCCTTCAGTGAGGCATCCACGTTCCAACCCTTTGGGCTTTGCTTCCTGGAACTACCTGTGACTGGAGACAGGGAGGGGAGGAGAGGAGTGAGGGGAAGGCTGGAAGGGGATTGATTTTGGAATGGGAGACATGTACAGTGCCCCACTGAAGAGGTGGGTGTGCAAACACAGCTCCTGGCAGTGAATTTTAGCAGTCGGTGACTTCACTGCAGGGAGATCTTCTGCACTCAGTGGCTCAGAAAAGGAATAAACCACACTGAGGATCACTACATTTTTGTTTCCTGCCTGGGAATGTGGCACTGGAAAGGGCTGAATAACCACAGGCAGTGATTCTGGGCTCAGAGGATTCCTGAGCAGAGGATTGATGGGGCTGGAGGAATATACTGTGTGTTACCTTGTCCCTCCTCACACCTTTCCCCCAGTGACCTGCTCGAGGTGGTTGTCAGAACCAGGTGCTGAGCTAGGTGAGCCTTTATGGCTGTTTGTTAGTCCAAACCACATGTGTCATCAAGCCTGATCGTTGTAATTGCAGGAAACCACAGTAATGAACTAGCATTAATTACTTTAGTGTTGCTGCTGCGACATCCTGCGAGAGGAAATCTCCCTCAGTTCCCCACGGTGAGGCTGCTGAGATACCTGTCTGGTTCACATCTGGGACGTGGTTTGGGATCCTGAGGCCAAAAGCAGCTCCTGACTGCTGAGGGATTGACCTGCAGCAGGGCAGGGATGATGCAGCAGGCACACAGGGGCCTGAGGAGCTCACAGTGTGGTGTTGGAAGCTGATGTAGGTAATGTCTTGGCACACTTGACATGCCCAAAATGAAGTCTTAGCTTGTGCTGTCATCCTGCTTTTCATTCTGCAGGTAACAGTCACTATTCCCTCCATGTGTGTGCGTGTAAAAATGTGTATTTAGCTCTCAAGGGCTGGGGAAGCAAAGGGCAGAGGGAGGTTAAACACACCTCTAATTGTCAGGTGTCATCTTTGGTCAAAAACCTGAAAAATCAAGGCAGTATCCTAGCAAAGAGCCTCAGGTACAATTATAGCCCTCCTTGATTCCAGTTCCTTCTCCCCCAAAATATCTGTGGTACTGGCATGATATATTTAGCTTAAGGAACAGATTGTCCTGGTAACTAGATTAGGAAATGCCTAGAACAATCCTGCTAGGAATTTTTTTTTCAGGCTGTATTAATTATTCTGTCTGTGCCCAGGCTCTGCCATGCCAGCTCTCACCTTCCCCTCTTCCCCCTTGACCTGCTCCACACCATCACACCAGGCTGCTGCTCAGCTGAGCTGGGCCATCAGTGCTGTTGTCCCATGCTGTGTGTTTGCACAGCTGGATAAACCCCAGGAGGGAAGAGGCTTGGGCACACACAGAGCTCACTCCCCATGGATGTGCCTTTGATTTGGAAGTGCAGGTGGGTGTCCCTGCAGTGCTCCTGGTGGGCAGGGGAACAGGAGAGCTGTCCATGTGGACAGCCCCATGTGTGGGCATTGCCTTTCCCTGGTGGGAACTGGGCAGGCAAGGAATGTTCTGTTGATTTGTTTGCTTCTTGATGTACTTGCTGCTTTTTTTGTTTGTTTCCTTATTTGTTTGCCTTTTGATTTATTTGCTTCTTTATTTTAACGACTTCTATTCATTTCAAGGGGATCCCTACTCCAGTTCCAGTATGAACCATTAAGGTCTTTGGGATTTGCAGCATGAGCAGATATTCCCACAACCCTATAAAACTTGGGGGGAAGCTCCTTTTCCTAATGCCCTGGGACTCCTGCACCCAGGCAGTTGGCAGAAGTGCTGCTGATGGGGACTGAGCCCAGTGTCCCTGTGCAGGTCACTGGTGAGATGTGTGACCTCTCAGCCTTTGTAGTGGGTGGTGGTGGGACAGACACACACGTGGACATCTCACAGGGCCTTGCCTGGTTCTCAGTGAAACCAAAATGAGGTGTCCTCTGCTCTCACAGGGGACAAGGCACCACTAACCATGTCAGCATCCAAAGCCTTGTCCTTTACCATCACAGCACAGGATGGAGCTGTTCTTATCTCTCCTTCTCTGCACCAGGACATACCTGGCTCACACTTTAGCCCTTTTCTGGCCCTTGCTTGAGTATGATAGAATTCCTTCCCTGTCCACTTCCAGCCTTAAAAACTTCCTGCCTCAAGAGGTGTTGAATCCTTTTTCCATAATGGCTTAAGTGTTGTCCTCCAAAACCATGTTTGAAACCTTATTAGAATTTAGGGCTGTGTGCTCCACCTGCCCTCAGACATTCACCTCACAGGGCTGAGGGTGAGTGATGCTCATGCCACCAATGTGCTCCCCAGTGTGTCTCACTCAGCAGTGAGAACCTGTTGCTTATCCTGGCTCAGATGTCTCAGTGTGTGTCTAGCTGGTTCCTCATGCCAACAGTTGCGGTGGTACCACTTGGAGCTCACTGATGCTGAGGTTTCCCCCTGCCCATGTCTTCTAGCTGTGTTAGTGCACCTTGCACCTACAGGGAGAGCAGCAGGTGATCATTTCCACTGGTTTTCTTTCCCAAAAAGAGCAGCACGTGGTTCCCAAGGCTCTTTGCTCAATGTACAGAGCTCTGCTTGCCCCAAGATCTGCTCTTGACTTTGGAAAATGGTGAGAGATGCTGTAAATGTCTGGGACTGTAACACTAGAGCCTGACTGGCTTATTTCTGGCTGTTTCTTGGAGTATCACAGGTCCAGGGCCTAATCTACTCCAGCTGAGCCTTCCTGATTGACGTGCCACACAGATTTACAGGTTTCATTCCATCCTGTGGAGCAGACGTGCTCTTATCCCGGGATATCCCTGCTGATTCCCTGGGAACCATCTCAGATGAGTCTCTTTTCCAGCTGTGAGTTTGCTGCAAGGTGGGAAAGCAGCAGTGAAGTGGCTGTGGGGCCATCCAGGTTGAGCAGCACTTGGGAGGAGTGACTGGCAGATGGCATTTGCTGCTTGATATAAAGGGATTTGCCACATGACCTATTCAGAATCTGTGTCACATAGCACATTGATCAGACCTGGCATCTAATACAAGAATAAATCTAGATCAGCAGAGGAGCTGTAGCTAAAAGGTGTCTGGCACAAGGATCTACAGGGATCCCAGCTTGTTCCAGGAAGATTTGCTGATGCTCACAAGAGCTCAGTGCTGATTTTCTCTCTGTGTTCAGGGCAGTGTTCTCTCTCTTCTATAAATCAAGGAATTTGCTCCTCCTTAAGCTTACAGGGATGGGGACACAGCTCCAGCAGTGGATGTGCATGAGGCTGGGAAGTGAGCTGGAAGGAATGGGTTGGTGAAGCGACATGAATATTAACTTGACACTTAATTATATCCTCCGGGCTGATTTTTCCATTCTGTCATAGCCTGCTCTGTCTGCACTTTGTGGGAGTGTGGGATACTGTGTGGCTCTCTCCATCCAGCCACACTCTGGCACACATTGGTGCTGGAATTATCAGTTGTATGAGCTCTCCTGGCCCTGCTGCCAAAAGTAGCATCTCCCTAATGTTTACATTTGCTTTAACCAAGCAGTGTAGCTTAATCCTGTATAGATTTGAAAACAAAGGAAGTCTTTGGCTGAAGAGAGTGTTTGTTCAATTTGATAGCTCTTCTGGAATGAGATTTCATACCATAATTCCTGTGGGAGCTGTGATGGGACCTGCACTGTCTCTGCTTGACCAGAACTGACTTGTTAAAGTCAATTGTTCATCAGAAAGGGCCTTGGCAGTGCTGGTGGCACAGCTCAGTGGGAGCCAACAGTGTGCACAGGTGGCCAAGGAGGCCAAGGGCATCTTGGCCTGGCTCAAGAGCAGTGTGGCAGCAGGACTAGGGCAGTGCTCATCCCCCTGCACTGGGCACTGGGGAGGTCCCAGCTCAGTGCTGTGCTCAGCCTTGGGCACTCACTGCCCAAAGGCCATTGAGAAAGCCCATTGAGGCACTGAGCGAGTCCAGCCAAGGGCAACGAGGGCAGCAAAGGGCTAGAGCACATGGGCAAGGGCTGAAGGAGTTGGGCTTGGTAAGCCTGGAGAAGAGGCTCAGGGGTGACCTCATGGCTCTCTGCAACTCCCTGACAGGGTTGGAGAGAGGTGAGGGATGTCTGTCCTGCCAGGGCTGAGGGGAGAGGACTAGAGGGAATGGCCTTGAGCTGAGCCAGGGCAGAGTCAGATTGGATGTCAGGAGAAATGTTTTCCCTGTGAGGGTGTTGAGGCACTGGGATATTGCCCAGGGAGGTGGTGGAGTCACCATCCCTGGAGGTGTTTGAGAGGTGTCTGGATGTGGCACTAGAGGATATGGTTTAAGGTTTAGTGGTTCCAGCAGTGACAGGTTAGTGGTTGGACTTGATGATCTTAGCGGTCTCCTCCAACCTGGATGATTCTATGATTCTACAACTTTTCTCAACCTGATTCATACCCTGGCATTCCTTTATTAAAGCAGGAACCTCTGACCAGTTCCCAGACCAAATCCTGAAGTCAGATTTCTTACAGCCTTTCCCCTCTAAGGAAGAACCAAAGCCATGGCCCAGCTGGGGGTAGTTTGTCACCTGACAAGACCAAACTGAACCAGGGCTTTAATAACCTGCTCAACTAACCAGTTGTCCCTTGCTGTCCAGTCCCCCAGGTCCTCAAGAGCTGCACTGAGTTCATTGAGAAGCATGGCATTGTGGATGGAATCTACCGACTGTCCGGCATCGCCTCCAACATCCAGAAGCTCCGGTAAGGACCTGCCTTTGGCCTCCTCTTGGCATGGACAGGGGCACAGGCTGTGCTTCCTTCATTGTGCAGGAAGCTTTCCTTCAGGATAAAGTATCAGGATCATGGTGGTACTGCTGTCACGTTTCACTCCTGTTGCTTCTTGTTCCTGGAGCCCTTTGGGGCAGCTGATGGTTCTCCTCGCTGCCTTGGACTCCTGGCTTGTCAGCAATTAACTGGGAATGTGCAAAGGATACATGCCTGGTTCTCAGTGAGTGACATTGCTGTGCTGTGCAGGGAGAGGTGAGGTGTGTGTCCTGGTTAGGAGCTGTTCTCATTACAGGATGGTTTTCCTCCTGCCATTCGGTGTGGCTGGTTCTGCTGTGGAAGGACTCAGCATGCTGAGTGGGTTATGTCTAATTCCAGCCTTGATCCTGGGCCTGACAAAGGAGTATTTTCCATATGCAGGATATCCCTTTTGTACCAGCTCTTCTCCAGTCCAATGAGGAGGTTTGAGCTGGGACAGTGATGTACCAAACCCTTGGATGGGCTTATTCTGATTCACATTCATCCTGTCTCTCATTGTGGCAAGTCCCATTTTAAAATCTGCTCCTGAGGCTTTGATACGCAGGGCCCAAAGGCTCTGGTTGGAGCTGTGCCCCACAGCAATCTTGGCTGAGTAAAACATTTGCCTTTGCTTTAGTTGCATCCCTTTAATTCCCCCTTTGGACTTGTGCTGGACCATCCTTTTAATCACTGCCCTAGTCCATTCTTGCCCTTTGTGTTGCCAAGACCATTTTCTCCTTCATTGTGTCTCAAAGATGCTTTGAAAATGGTTTTCTAAGACTTTAATGGCATCATTCCCTGGGCTAGTGCAGAGAAGGAAGTCACAGCCTGTTTTTCAGTTTCCTGAGGTATTCCAAAGGCAAAGGGAAGGGAGTACATGGCACAACTCACAGACACTGTGTTCATCCAAATCACTACAGATTTTCAGTGTTTGATTAAGGTAGGACACGTTGTGTTGCTGCAGTTCTCAGCTGTATAAACAGGGCATTAGGCTCATTCCAAAGCTAGAGCTGCAGTGTCCTTACTAGTGAATCACTGTGCTTAGGTTTCACATAGAAGACTTGGATCTCCTGGATTTAAAGGACTTTTTGATTGGAGAGAAAGTTAGAGAATTTGCTCCACATGGGAGATTTCCATCAGTTGGCTCTTCAGCAGGGCAGTAGCAGCCTTTGGCAGTTGGGCAACCAGAGCCAGTGTTGGTTTGGGGTGTTTGTCCCTGTATCCTGGCTCATTTTAGAAATGTGGAATTGTATTCATCCACAAACAATATTTTCCTTTACAGTCAGAAGGAAAAGTGTGGAGTTCTTGAACCAGCCAGTGCAGAGAGAAGGCAGGACATGTTCACTTCTGCAGGGGTGAGATTTATTCCTGGGAAAATGTACTGGAATAGGGCAGGAGGATTGGAGCCAAGGCTGAGGGTGTGTGTATGGGGTTGGCTGGTGCCTTTCCCTTTCTGAGCTCTCTCTTCTGTGGAGCCAAGGGCAGGGAGTAAGTTTCTCTCCCAGCTATGGGGAAGAGGTGAGTCAGCAGGTGCCTGTGGAAGTGATGTGTGCTGAACACCAAGGGCTGTGGCTACAGGGCCTGGCAGTGGGGAAGCAGAACCTTGCCTTCTGTGCTGTTGTTGGGATCAGAAGTGGAGATGGACTCTTCACCCTCCTATCTGAAGAGGTAGAGACCTTTTCTGCCCCTTGCTGTGGTGGAGTGTAAATGACTTCTCTCACACAGCCTTCCTATCTAGGGATGGAAGGAGCTCGTGCTGATCCTGGGAGGGATCAGTTACACCTGGTGCCCTGGGCATGGGTACAGCAGGTTCTGCTCCAGAGACAGTTACTCTTGGGTTACAAAGTGCCTGGTTGGGATGGAGGAGAGGCCAGGGATGCTGCCACCAAGGCTGACCTGGCTGTGGTGGCAGTGCAGACAGGATGACTCCCTGCAGTTCTGGGTTACAGCCTGGAGCCCCTGGTAGGGACCCTGAGGTCCAGCTGGAGTTGCTGTGTTCTCCCAGGGCCTGACTCATCCCTGCAGCTCTGTCCTGCTAATTTGAACCAGCACTTCCATGCACAGTGAGCCAGCCCTTGGCCTTCAAGCTCAGCTTGTATTTCATAAATGTTTGTGACTTGGGGTTTTTCTCTCTCTAAAAACCGAGGGAGTGCTCAGGGCTTGTCTTCATGTGGTTCCTGGCTCTCCTCACCCCATGGCAGAGGCTGCTCAGCTCACCAGGAATTCCTGTACAACGTGTGGAGCCACTGCCAGTGGCACTGCTGTTGGCATGGCTTTGGCAGTAAAGCTTCCAGGCCTCTGAAATGCAGAGGGACAGCAGCTTCCATCAGCCCTGTGGGCAATCCTGGCCACAGCCCCTGGGAGTCAGATTGTCCCTGTGGTCTGTTCTCTGGAGCCTGTGTGAAAAGCCCTGATGCAGCAGAAGGCTTTGCAACCAATTGGTTGTAAAACTATCTCAAAATGCTTTTTTAATAAAAAAAGAAGTCTCTTTTTGGCAGAAATCCTCTCTAGCAGCCCCACAGCCTTGGGTCATGTGGCTTTGGTGACTAAGTATTTATTTTTTTTCCTGTAAATGAGGAGCCCCTAGCTCTGCCTGGCTGTAATTTGCACTGGGTTTGACTTCATTCCTCCCTTTCAAACCCTATTTCTCTCTTCTCATTTCCAGCCACGAATTTGACTCCGAGCAGATTCCCGACTTGACCAAGGACATTTACATCCAGGACATCCACTGTGTGGGCTCCCTGTGCAAACTCTACTTCAGAGAGCTGCCCAACCCTCTGCTCACCTACCAACTCTACGAGAAGTTCTCAGTGAGTACAAGGCAAACAAGAGGCACTTTCCACCTCAATGTGACTTCACCTACTCAGGCTGAGGAGAGAAGTACTGAAAGGACCTCATAGCAAGCTGGCCCTGCCTTCCACACACCTTCCTCTGGCTGCTTCTGCCTTAGTTTAGGTTTTTAGAGCCAGCAGAAGGTTGTATCTACCAGCCTGACACCAACTGGTTCGTGCTGTCCACACAGATTCCCACCTTGCCATTCCAGAGGTGCCTGTGGGTTTGAGGTGCCTTTTCTGTTTCCCCTTTAGGAAACTCCCCAGTGCCTTTGTCCCCTGTGCCACAATGGATTGATTCCACCTGTGGGGCCCCTGTAGAAGGTTTTTGGCACACTAACCATGCTTGGCAGGAATTTCCCTCTCCTTTGCTGTTACCCAGGGATTTCTCCAACAGGAGTGGGATTCGAGGCAAATGCTGCTCCTGAATGATCCCTGCAAGGAAATCTCTGTACATAAGAGTGTCCCAGACTGGGATTTACTTGCCCTTTCTCTGTGTGCTGCTCTGTCCCCAAGAGACAGATCCCTCACTCAAGAGAGAGAGGAGCAACAAACTCCCCATCACTGCTGAAGAGCCACACATTGGCCATGTGGTGCAGGATGAAGGTATCTAGTTTGATTTGCAGCTAACTCACTCCCTCCTGCCTCGTTCCAGGATGCTGTTTCTGCTGCTACAGATGAAGAGAGGCTGGTGAAGATCCATGATGTGATCCAGCAGCTTCCCCCTCCCCACTACAGGTGAGTTGGGCCTCAGCTCCAGTTGGAGCTCAGTGGTTTATTGGTGGCATTTCAGGAGGGAAATGATACCATTCCAGTGTCCCTCTCAAAACAGCCACACTGTGCCTCTGCCTATTAAAATGGCTATATAAAGTTGATTTACATTTTAATTAGTTCCTTACTAAACACTATGTACTTTGCATGGTCTTATTTGACTTAGTTTTCAAGAAGGGAGGGAGACACAACCTTGGAATAGGAGGGAAATACAACCTTCATAGGTCAGAGGTGGCTGATATCAGTAGGGAAATAGTTTATTGTGGGGGAGGCATAAAAGCAGCTCTAGGAGTGATACTTTTAAGATGTGAATATAGCCAAGAAATTGTTTAGGCTTTCAAACTTGGTCAAATGTGTTTTGGCTTCAGTTTCTCTCAACAATAATAGTAAATAATCACAATGCTCTGTTAGAATCACTAATGGAATTGGTTATATACTGTTCTGTATTAGAATCACTAATGAAATTGGTTATATTACTGTTCTGTATTAGAATAACTAATGTAATCGGTTATATTAGTGTTCTATATTAGAATAACTAATGGAATTGGTTATATTAGTGTTCTATATTAGAATAACTAATGGAATTGGTTGTATTAGTGTTCTGTATTAGAAGAACTAATATGATTGGTTATTTTAGTGTCATGTATTAGAATAATTAACTTAATATGGTGTTTAAAAACCACCAATTATAATGTTATATTCAAATTAATTAGTATAGCTAACAATTTGTGCTATATGGTAATGAGTCTTGACTAAGAATAACAACATTTTAATGGGTTATAGTGTTAAAAATTGTGGCAGGGTATGGGAAAAAGGCATCAGAGAAATTGTATGGTGATTGGTATTCCTGATTGCATCTAATACTCTGTCTCAGTGATTCTTTAGTTACTCCTATTCATCCTTGTAAGGATGTGTCCTAAGTAGGCATCACCAATTGTGTATTGTAATTAGCAGAAGCAGCTAATGACAATGTATATTGGAAGTATTTAAATATCAATAACTCCTGTAATTGGCTGAAGCAATTGCAATGTTATGTCTGAGTGGTTTAGGTGACCACGAGGCTATTGATACCCAATTCCAACACTGCAGTGCAGTCCTCAGTTGCCATATTAATTGACCATTGTAACCTCTGTTAATTTGAGGCCCAGTTAGGATTGTGTGCCCTGAGTGCCAGAGATGCCCAGGCCTAACACATGAAGAGAGGTCTAACTATTTAGAATCATTTGTGCTAATAAATATTTACATTTCAACTCTTGCACTGTGTATGGTGATTAGCTGGAAAACTGCAATGCTGCACCTGAGTGGTATAAATAGCTAATTCCAGTGGTTAACTGGGATTTAAGTAACGTGTTATCAGCCACAGCTGTGAGCTCTTTGCTCGTTATGTATCATTAGCTAATGAGGTACCAGCTGGGACTTTAGTAAGTCCTGCAATGTTTTATTTATGCAAATGGAAGGGGGTGTGACCTTCCCAATATTATACTATCTCCTTCATTTTTGTTGCTGTGAGGAGTTTCAGCTTTTGTACCACCTCCTGCTCCCTCCTCCTTAGGGGGTGCAGCACTCTTTAATATAGTAAAGACACTTTTTAGTGTGACTAGAAGCCTCTGAAGTTTAACCTTGTACCTGTCTTATCCACCTGTAAGAAACCTGCAGACAGGAATTTCACCAGTAGACCTCAAGTACAGTTTTCTGGTTTTCAATCTAAAGAAAGAAAGAAAGAAAGAAATATTCCCCCTCTTCCCAGGATTAGCATTCCAGATCCTTCCCCTCACCCCCCTGAGCAGCACCTCAGGGCTGCCACACACCTGCAGAGAGGATATTTCTGGGCCTGGCTTCTCCATGAGCCTGGAAAAAGCAGGAGACACTGCCCTCACCCCATGCCCACGTCCTTATTTGTTAAAGGCAACTTCAGCAAGGCTCTGGGGGGAGGTTGCTCAGTGTTTCTTTCTGGGAGCTGTCAAACCACAAGGAAATAATGAACTGGGTTTGTTCTGTGGATCTCAGCCTGGCCATGCTCAGTGGTGCTGAACAGTTGCCTCTCTCCTGTTTTCCAGGACACTGGAGTTCCTAATGAGACACTTATCTCGCCTGGCTGATTACTGCTCCATCACAAATATGCACACTAAGAACTTAGCCATCGTCTGGGCTCCAAACCTCCTCAGGTACTCTTGGGTTTGCCTATTGCAATATGAGAGAAGTCTTTATATTCATAAAAACCAACCAGACAAATACCTTTTCTCCTGAAAATCCTCCCCTTCCAGCAGCTGCAAAGCTCTTCCCTTCTTGCAGCCACTGTGCTCTTCTCCTCCTGTAAAATATGCAGTGGGAAATCATTCTGAGCAGAATTGGTGACTGGCAAATTGCTGAGCTAGTGAGGTAAAGAGCCCCTGCTGTGGTCAGTGAAACCACTGACACCCCAAGAACACCCAGATTACATCACATGGCACAGTCTCACTGACATTCCCTCCACCCTCTTTTGTAGAGGATCATTTCCCCTCTCCTGCATAGAGGAGACTAATGTGTCCTGGATCATCCAGGGAAATTCCTTCAGTGCCATCACTGATTCCCACTGCAGAAGTCTCCAGAGTCTAATTTCACAGCTTGTGGCTGCAAAAATTCAAACTTATGCAAATGATCTTGGAGAAATCTGTCCCCTAAAATTTGTTTGGAATGTGCATAACAGAGTACTTTAAAATTAATGGTGTGATTGAAACATTTGGCTTTAAAAGGAAAAGAATAACATCACTCTGGTCTCTTTTGTGTTGATTTCTGAACTGCTTTTGTTACCAACCTGAGAAATCCAAGTCAGAGATCCTCTGTGTGCAGTTCACCACACAGTCACTGGTTTGGGTTGGAAGGACTTTAAAGCTCATCCAGTTCTACCCCCTGCCATGGACACCTTCCACCAGCCCAGGTTGCTCCAAGCCCCATCCAACCTGGCCTGGAACACTTGCAGCTCATGCAGATGAGCTCTTCTCTCCTTTCTGGCAATTCACCCACAAACAGTTGAGTGATCTCTTGTTTGGGTTTGCTCTGGTGAATCTTGGGGTACTCACTCAGCAGGATCAGTTGGAGACATTCCCTGCTGAAGAGAAAATCCCATTAGAGGCCACAGTGAGGTTTGTACAATGTCACTGCATTAAACGGTGCCATTCATGGTATCTGGAAGTGAGGTAACAAAAAACTCCACGTTTTGGGTGTGCAGTTTGTTTACCTCAATCCAGACCTGCTCCTCATTCAGAGAATCAAAGAATTATCAAGGCTGGAGGAGACCTCTAAGATCATTGAGTCCAACCATTAACTTGTCACTGCTGGAACCCCTAAACCAGATCCTCCAGTGCCAGATCCAGACACCTCTCAAACACCTCCAGGGATGGTGACTCCACCACCTCCCTGGGCAATATTCCAGTGCCTCAACACCCTCACAGGGAAAACATTTCTCCTAACATCCAATCTGACTCTGCCCTGGCTCAGCTCAAGGCCATTCTCTCTAGTCCTCTCCCTGCAGCCCTGGCAGGACAGACATCCCACACCTCTCTCCAACCCTGTCAGGGAGTTGGAGAGAAGCAGCTCAAGGGTGACCTTATGGCTCTCTCCAACTCCCTGACAGGGTTGGAGGCAGCCATGGGGCCACCCCTGAGCTGCTTCTTCTCAACACTAACCAAACCCAACTCTCTCAAGTACTTCCTTGCAAGACATGTGTTCTCCTTTTCCTTCTAGCCCAGTGTTCCTCTTGCCCTTCCAGTAAGACTTAACCTGAACCCAAATCCAGCTATAAATCACAGATCATCAAACATTACCCAATCCCATAGCTGCCCCCAAAGCCTTGTCTGCCTGAGCACCAGGCACAGGAGCCCCACACCCCTGACCCAGAAGATGTGTCCTTTCCTGCTCTTCATGCTTTTCCCATGACACTTACCCCACCTTCCCTGCAGGTCGAAGCAGATCGAGTCAGCCTGTTTCAGCGGCACTGCTGCCTTCATGGAGGTGAGGATCCAGTCTGTGGTGGTGGAGTTCATCCTGAACCACGTGGATGTCCTCTTCAGTTCCAAGCTCAGCTCAGTCATACGAGATGGAGCAGGTCTGTGTCTTCCTCCGCTCACTCTACCTTGATCAGAAAAGGCAGCAGACACTGAATGGGTATCTGAGCCTCCCCAGGACATGTGAAATACATTTTTATGATGTTAGAACCCAGCAAATCTTGCCTGGTTTTAGAAATTGCTGTCAGTCCCTTTCTCAGAAGCCAAGGATGCCCCACAGGAATGCACAGATTAATGTTTGGCTGCTACTTTTATGTCCGATCACTGAGAAAGCACAAGGAATCACTTAAATCCTTGTCCCTGCTGCTCCCTCTCCTTTTTAAAGCCATCATCACTGATGCTCCTGCATGCTCACTCATTTCAACTCTCTCTGTCTGCCCTTACCCAATACCTCAGAACACAAATAGACATGAACTGGTTTAGAGCAATCTCTCTGCATTCAGTAATGTTGTCACAAAGAAACTTAGTCTTGCTCTTAACAGGATATTTTGACATCTGCTGTCCTGATTATTCCTTCTGCACAGCCTGTGTGGGTTCAGGAGCAGGGCTGGACAGCCACACAGCTCAGGCTGGTGTTGTTTTAGGGTGAGGAATGAACTGTGACACATTGGTGCCCAACCCTGAAGCACTTGGAACATCATTGAGCCTCAGAACCTACAACTTCCCATGAGTAACTAAGACCATGCACCTGTTCCATTGAAAAGGAGCAGAGTTACACCAGGAGGAAAGTTTACTCTGTGTGTTAGCTCAACAAACGTGGCTACCACAAGCTGTTACTGCTCCTAAGCAGCATTAAGTGTGCACCATCTGCCTTGATAACCTGCCCTGCCCGTGAAACATGCAGAGCCAATGCAGCTCCCACCACCTGGGGAGTGCAAAGAGCTGCTTTTCCACTCTATTTCCTGCTCTCCTCTTTTAAACAAGCCTTACCTCTACTTAAGAGAGCAGAGTTGCTCCAAGTCCAGCTTCTGTTCCCACTGGAAGGCAATTTTAAGCCAGAGGTTAGGTTGGCTGAACAGTCCCAGCCCCCAGCAGGCTGACTGTGCCTGGGGAAGATAAGCATGCTCACAATCCCAGCCAGATGATTATCCAGGCTTAGAATGGACCATGTAAATTCAGCTAATTGTTTAATGACTTGGTCATTGGCATTCAGTGGGCTCTGACACAAAACTGGCAGGGAGAAGGGTCAGGCTCTTTGTGGCAGCATCTTGGCTAAGGGCAGCAATACTGTGCTGCTCCCAGGAGCTGCTGGGTTTGAGCTCAGCTCCTGCCCCCACCTGGGAGAGGTGAAAGTGGTGCTGCCAAGTCTGCTGTAACCCAGACCTCACCCAGGACAGCACTGACAGTCCACACACACACACACACCAGGCTGTGCACACTTTGCCAAGAGCTGTAGGAATGGAAGCAACCAGGATGTTCTGTGATCACACACTTCCCCCACACCCCTCAGCTCATCTGGGAATAACCCTGTAAACACTTGTACAGTAAGCAATGGCAAACAAAGCAGAGCTGCTCCTACAACAGGCTCCTTGTTGTCCCCTCTGCACTGAAGCTGACAGCACCAGGAGGCAGCAGCAGTGGCTTCCACAAAGGTTTACAAGTTCATCTCCAAAACCAGGTACAAGCTGTAAAAGGCCAAGGGCAGGACACACAGCAGATTGTGGTTGCTGTGTCCAGCTGCACATTGGTTTGTAGCAGCTTCAGTCACACGTGGCATTTCCTGCTGGAACCTGGGAATGACCCAGCCAAGCTTTGTACAAATTAAAACCATCATTTCTTTACAGGCTTTAAAGTATGTCACAAAGGTTTCTGTCCTCCCTGCTTCCCTCTGCCTTTTCTTTTAAATACACTGAGCTGCTCAATAAGAGATTCTTTTCTTTGCCATAAACATCTCTCTGACAACATCGTGACCACATTTTTGTCCACGTCTTTCAGTGCTTGGGATAACAAAGGGTTAGAAAAACACAGCACCTCCCTAGACACACAGACCCAAGCTTTGATCTCTGCACTGCTGGTTTCTGACTCTCCCTGTTGCCTGTGGTTTTCCCTTGCAGGGCACAGCTCTTTATCCCGGCCCAAGTCTCTGCTGGTGTCCTCTCCCTCCACGAAGCTGCTCACGCTGGAGGAGGCACAGGCACGGACACAAGCCCAGATCAACTCTCCCATTGTGGCAGACAGCAAGTACATAGAAGTGGGAGAAGGCCCAGCAGCTTTGCAGGGGAAATTCCACACTGTCATAGACTTCCCATCTGAAAGGTACAGACAGGTTTCCTTTCCAGCATGTGTCCAAACTGTTCTGGGTTTTTTATTGCAGCAAATCCTTGCTGATATTGACTGAGAGATGTCAAGCACTGTAGCCTATTTTCCACCTGCTTTGGACTCTGGGAGGATTCAGCTTACATCGGTGGTCTGGTGGGCTTGGTTTAGCCAAGTAACTTGTGCACCACTCCCTCCTTTCTAGCAGGGTTATCATTAAATGTATAAATCCATGTTTTTTGTGAGGCCTGTACTAGTCACACGCACAGAAACGTAAACAGGGTCAGCACCTGCACACATTGGGGTTTTCCAGGTTTCAGCACTATGTGCCTGTAACAAATCCAGGTTCCCATCAAAGTGGAGCAGTTGGACAGGCTTGATGACACCAGAAATTAAATAAGGCAGTG